TTGTCTCCGATTGTACCTCCCAAACATTAAAACCATTTATATTAAAATTATAAAAAAATATAATCGAGACCGTTACAACAAGCCCTTTCATTTGATATGTCACACGGTACAGATTACAAAACCTTTTTTTAATTTCCTATTGATCCCCAGAAATGACCCCCATGTTCAAAATTAATTTATTTACGTTATGCGTCCGTGTTTGGGTCACAGAAATTCATATGTGTATTAAATTTTAACTTAATCGGTCCAGCAGATTCGGAGAAAAATGACTGTGATAAACTGACAGATAGACACACGAGTGATTCTATAAAAGGTCCGTTTTTCATTTGGACGTAAGGAAACCCAAAAAGAAAACTGAAGTATCTTCAGTTGAAAAGTCACTAAATATCTACCTATTTTCCTGAAGCATTTATTATAATGCAATTTTTTACTGTCGAAAGATAAATATTACTCAAATATTTTTACAGACAGAAATACAAAGTCAACATGCCAGAAATAAGAAAAAAAATCGGTTGTCTGTAAAGTCGGTTTACTGACGATAGTTGAACGTGACAACGTCATAAAAAAATACTGTTGGAATGGTTTCATTTTAAAAGAAAATTTTAGAGAAGGAGGTGAATGGAAATGTATTATTGAATAGCAGCTGTCCACGCGGACGCATCGCTCACTCAAGTAGGAGAGAGACAGATGTCGAACGCGGAAGCCGATTGTGCCTCTTTGCGGCTCGTTCCGCGCTCTCGCTTGCACTTCAAGCCTTAAATGGAACGCCTCAGAGCGAGGTAACGCCGCATGAGTCATGTTTTTTCGTGCGTGCAGCCGGCCCCATCGAATTATAAGACGTTGTCACGTCAAAAATATAGTATCCATTCATCTGTAATACATAGATAGTAGACTTTATGCTTTTGGACATGAGGCACCTATATCATGCATTTCACGCAAGTAAATAAGANGAAAAAAATATAGTATCCATTCATCTGTAATATACAGATAGTAGACTATGCGCACAACTTCATGCTTTTGGACATGAGGCACCTATATCATGCATTTCACGCAAGTAAATAAGAAAATGAACGCAGAGTAATATTTTATTCAAAATAGAACTCATTTCACTGAATTATCTATTCACAAATTTATATAGTATCAGAAATTAAAAAATTACGTACAAAGGTCTTAAAATTACACATGCAGGTCGCGAGTTTTTGCTTTGCCCAATTGTCTTTGTAACAGAGACTTGGTCCTTGGGATACTATTTAAGCTCTGAGTCTGCAACAAACATAAAAGGAACATTTCATTATTTCGTATACGACTGTGAATTAATAAAACAATTGTAAAATACTGTGTAAATTCTAAATAATTTAACATAACTGTACCTATAGGTCATACAAAGTATAATTATGATATGTTTTCAATAAAATGTAATGGAAATAACATAGTTTAAGGAAATAAGCAAAAAATACCTTCTTGGATATCTGCAATTTTTTAGGTAAAGTAGGCGTACAAGAACAAAACCTAATCTCTTTTCGTCAGAGGATTTGGTATGGTTTTTGGGTTATTAACAGTTAAAGCCAAAAATGTATATTATTGTATAATATTTTCCACCCTTATTTGATTAAGAATATTATATTACTTGTAAAACAATTACTCGTCACTTAAACAGAGTTATCTGTATTTATTAGTAATAATTTTAATATTGCTAAATAATTAAAATTGCATTTCGAAATAATTTTTCATTTATTAAAAAGACTATTTAAGTTCAAATCAATCGCATATGTTTAAAGATTATGTACAGGTGTTTTTCTTTGTATAAAATATAAGTACTGTGCGTTTAAAAATAAAATCTTTTTTAGCTTTTAATTGTTAATAACTAAAAAAATACAACGTGTAATTATACAACACGCTACTGAAGTGAAACTTCTTCAAACACAGTGATTTGTATGTGTTTGTGTGTGCTTGAGCAAGGAAGTGCGAACGTGGTTGCTTGGGAAGTTGCTGTGAGTTGCAAGTATAATAGTTGGTCAAGGAGTGTAAAGATGCTTCGTTTATTTATTTGAGAATTAGTTTGTTTTTGTTTTTATTTTATTTTGTTTAATCCGTTTGAAAACCATTTATTTAACCTGTTAACAATATTTATTTAAAATAAATACCTAATTATATTACTGTTTTTTCGTAAATTATCGAAAGTGTAAACTTAATAGGTAATTGGGTCACTTCAATAATTTCCGAATGTGATGTCTCTAACTAAAGATAATCACTATTTATTAAATAAAATATATACAGAACTATGTACAAAAATGAATTTGGTGGTAACAATTNTGTGGAAGTATTAACTGTTTTTTTGAAAAAACTTTTATCCAGACGAAAGCATATTTCTAAATATAATACCCTTTCCATAGTAGTAAACCTTTTCTCTTTTCACCCCACTGTGGGAAGTCAAATAAATCAGGATGAACACAGGGGTGGAAACTTCAAACAAAATTGTGGTCGGTGAGCCCAGCGAAAGATAAAACATAAAACGTTGTGGTATTTTAGGGGGATATTAAAATACCGTGGATAGAATGGATTACAAATGAAGAGCTATTGGAAATCGTAGGAGAAGAAAGGGCGACATGGAATTAACAAAGAAAGGTGGAGATAGGAACGATATTTTCTAAGGCATTAAGGGCTAGTTAGATACATATTAGAAACAGAAACAATAATAAAACGGGACAGAGGAAGACCTATATTTGATTGCTATTCGCAAATAGTTAAGGATGGGAAACGTTTTAGTTTTCAGGAAATGCGAGCATGAGACGGTGAAAGTATGGACAGGAAAGGGTGAAATTGCATGTCCAACCAGTCTTCGGAATGATGATGTAACACTGCAACAAACCTTCTAAAATTAAAACATTTTTTTTTCAATTTAAACTCATAGACACTTCTAGACGTTTCCATTTTTAAAATTTCCGTGAAATTGTGAAACGGATTCTCCAACAATACTTAGCGGTCGTCGCGCACGAGGCCGAGTTGTGCGCAAGGGCCTCTAAATTGTAGGCATTTGAATTATAAAAAGGATAGATATTCGAATTTGGATGATTCTAGGCATTTGTAGATTTATGTTATTTAACGTTTTTATACGTATGTATATTCTGCAGTCGTTTTAAAAATACGAAAGATTATTGAAATACATAATAGTTCAGGCAAATTAGATTTTTGGGTGGAAAAGTTTGAACTAGATCTGATTTTTTCAATTTGTAAAAAATTAGGTACATCATTATTAAACTTCTGCTTCTGCTGAAAAGTTTGTGTAATTTTCTTTATAAATAAATTAAGGATGATTTTTTGATCTATTTTCGTTTTTGTTCTATACTTTCTGCTGTTTTTACCAAGAAAAGCTAAATAATAAAGTAAATTTACGTGAAAAATTCAGGTCTAGTCCAAGTGTTTCCAAAACTAAGTGTAGTAAGGAGCAAAAATACCAAACAAAAGTTTTGTTACATTTGCAAACACTGCAAGAAAAAAAAGGTGTTGCAAAAAGAAAAAAGAATTACCGATGGCGAAAGAAGATAAGAAGGACGGATTTAAGCCATCAAAGACGGTTAGCGAGCGTTGTTCAGTCTCTCTTTCTCTCATCTCTTTTACACCTTCATTCGAACGGTGTATGTGTTTATATATTTTCCCTTATTAAAGAAATATATAGTTACCTCCAAGTTTCTTGGAGTTCGGGGCACGTATTCGCTAGTGCCGCGTTTGATGAGATTCCTCTGCGAATGGAAACGTTGCGAGGCAGTCCGGCTGCCTCCAGTCAGTGTTATGAGCGTATCTTGGCGGCTGAGACCTCGGCTACAAAATACTATCTTGAAAGTGCGTCTGAATTTATCCGACAGGACGCAGTACAAGATGAAATTGCACGATGCATTCAGTGTTATTAGAAAGTTGAAAATGTTACCTAAACCTAAAAATAACAATAAAAAGGCATACATTTAGTCAGTCTACAGACAAAGAGTAAGGAGACAAGAAAAATTGGTCTTTTCTTAAGCGCTCCAATGAACTTAGTGNTTGTGGTCGGTGAGCCCAGCGAAAGATAAAACATAAAACGTTGTGGTGTTTTAGGGGGATATTAAAATACCGTGGATAGAATGGATTACAAATGAAGAGCTATTGTATGAGATCCTTACAACAATATTAATTTGAAATCATTTTTCGATTTTTTATCCACTACAAACTTCCTCAGATTAATGAGGAAAATATTTTTGTTGCTATTGGAGCATTGGTGCGTAAAGCCAAACGTCCCTGGTTCGATTCTCCGCGAAGGTATAGCAACAGTAATATTTTTTTCTCATTAATTTGAGGTAATTTGTAGTGGATAAAAATTAAATGAATTTTTACATTACCTAGTATTAAACATAGTTCGCCCGAGGGGATTACTTTTGTTCTTTGAAATACATAATCTGATCAAAGCCCGAAAATAAAAAAAAATAACGTAATGACTTCTCTGCAAAAGTCGACATCGGTTTTGTTCGAAATTATTAAAATTTTTGGAATAGCTGCAGTTCCAGGCCATACTGCCAACGTTCAATGGGTGTTCTCTTTCATAAACGCCAATTGGACTACGGAACGCAATAAATGCAATTCCGAACTACAAATGTTATATACAAAAGAAATTATAAGTGCTGTCAGCACAGGGCAAAGTAGTTTTACGTAGTTAGTATCAGCAATTTCTTATGCTAAAGTGTACGATGTGTTGCATACCTATTTACAAACAATTCCTTTAAATTTAATTTTTCAAACAATTTTTAATACAAAGAAAGCAATTAAACAAATTGTTCAGAAAAGTGAATTTCGACCACCCGAAGCAATGGTGTTAACAGTTTCGAGCTTACAGTGACTGATATGGGGAAAGAACTTGTATTACCAATATTTGTACTTGCAAAGATGCACCGTTCTTGAATGATCTAAATAATTTTGTAAATGGTATAAAAATATAAAAACAAAGATCTATAAACTTATTAGATACAATAATTCACAATTGTTTCGATTAAACAGTCATTTTGAAGTGTTTAATACCGTAAGCAGATGGTATTGTCACGTGTATGTAGGCAACCCAACATGTATAGTGGCAAAGAAGATCAAGATTCTAGATCACTTATACTGGAAAACTTTAGAAAACGTCAAGTCTCTATAAATAGTTGTCACGAGATTGAAAGGAGTACGTAGTGCGAGTCAGAGAGTTCCAGGCGATATAAAGCGAAGAAGAAGCGGCGAAGAAGTAATAAAGTGTTGTTGTATGTTTAGCAAAAAAAAATATGCTAAATAGTGGTGCTTTTAACTTAAGCACTGCTGGCTTTGTCTCGTATGTTTGATTGAAATATATCTTAAAAATGATTGACTAAAACTGTGAACTGCTTTAACTTAGTTTATTATTTACACTTTAACAATTACAATTTAACTCTCTTAACTACTGAAAACTAATGGCTAACTTATACAATGTGTTCGATGTGACCTCTCAACAGGAACTGTCTTTAAAAACTTATTTTTCTATGCTTGTCACCCTTATTTCATTTTAAACTACTCCCAGATGTAGCCTTTTCTTAGAAGGTGACAATATCGACACCCTGCCGACACGAGTTCTAACCGACCCCTCAATAAAGCAAAAAGCTGTTGTTTAACAAGTGTTTTTATAGTGGTGAATTGATAATTAATTAATATGGATCTAGGATTGTTCCTTGGGGCACTCGAGTTGTGGCAATTTGATACTCACTAACAATACCATTACTTTTGACTCGTTGCCTTCTGTTATGTAAATGAACAGTTAAGAATTCTAAGTAGATATTGTGTATTTACTAAAAAAAAAGGGATTCTCAAAATGCGTCATATATTGATATTATGGCTGTTGAATATTTCAGAACATTCTGCATTCTTCCAGTCTAGTTCATTCTAATAAATTCTAACTCAGGACAATCCTAGAGATGGAGAATATTCTAACTGAGCGAAGGATTTTACGCCCTCGCTACTTTCCCTGAGGATGCTAACATCAGTATTTAACGAAATATCGGATAAACGATTCAACCAAAACAGAAACAATCCTAAACCACGGTTATTATGCCCCTATATCAAGTAAAAATTATTTGGTCGAAATATTAACCATCAATCTCCCATACTACCATAACTACCAATATGTAATCACCATATGCATGATGGAAGAATCACGGGTTCTACCTCGTACATACAAAACCCGGTGAAACTAATGAATTTGAAGAAAAATGTGTTATTTGAAATGAGAAGCATCAATACTTATCTCTGAATTATTTAGTTTAATTTGACATAAGAGTATCTTAGGAGCAGCTAAACAGCTTAGAACTTATGTACTTATCAAATTAGAAAGACATTTTAGTTTGATAACATTTAAAGTTGATATCGCAAACATCGGACTATTTGATTAATAATAAACGACTTAAAATACCCGACTAATAGCTATATTTCTATTTAATCGTAAAGTAGGTAGCTAAGCTTTTAGGGTAAAAGATTTGATTAAATGTAGCGCCGGGTCAGGGTTTCCAATTTTGGACCTGGCAACCCCATACAGTACACAATTTCCTATGGATGTACTATTACATCCATTTTGCGTCTATCATGTCCAATTTCTTCAAGGGATTGATTGAGGACATACTATATATATCCTCATTGGACATATCTACAGGTGTCTTTACAGGACGTGCATCGGATATAGAGTGGATATCAGGTATACATCATCAGCTCCACTCCCTTCTATCCTGAGCTAATTTTTGCATTTCCCTTAAACTAGAACATCCCACATCCTTAACTATTTGCGAACAATAATGTAATCTAGGTCTGTCTCTACTCCTCTAAAATCGGTTTTCTGCCTATAATATGTCTCTGACTAGACCTTCATGCCTGAGAAGGTGTCCTTCCAACACCAATCTATTTTGCCTATTTTTTATTGACTTCCAGGGAGTCCTCTGTTCGCCTATTCTTTCTAATACTTCTTCATTTCTAACCTTATCTATCCACGGTATCCTCATCACTTCGAATTCTTCTAACCTTTTCTTTTCCGCCGCGCCCACCGTTCATACAGCGCCGCGCTCTTAACACACCTTTAACAATTTTGTTTCGAATTTCTAAATTAATCGTTCTCGAGCATAGAAGCGACTTCCTTTAAATGAAGGCGACTCGACTGCGCTATCGCCTGCTTTATATCCCTACTAATCCTTCCGTCCTGAATTATCTGACTTCCTAGATATCTAAAATCAGCCACTACTTTTGCGTCTCCAATCTTTATATTCGCTCTTTTACTACTTTTTCTCCCCTTGCATCCCAGCATTTTTGTTTTACTTTTATTTATTTTCATACAGTACTGTTTCGTCAATACCGATTTAAAGCTATCTCTAACTCCTCCTTGCTAGATACTGCTATATCTTCTGCAAATCTAAGTATACTAATCTTTTACCCCTCTATATCTATCCCTAAGTTACAGTGTACTTCGATGTATGGATTAAAAAGTAGGGGTGACAGTGTGCATCCTTGTCTGACTCCCTTTCTAATATTTACTTCTCTACGTTACTACTCCAGCTCTATAACTGCCTGTTGCTCTTTATGCAAACTATCACTCTATCTCTGTAACTCATCCCTACATTTTTGAGTATATTTAATATCTTGTCCCATTTAACATTGTCAAAAGCTACGTATTATAAAATTATTAATAAAATGTGGGTTCATAAGATCAATTTGGGTTTAGAAGAAATAGAGGACCACGGGAGGCCATTCTAGCTTTGCGGGTAACAATAGAGAAAGCGACAGAAAAAAGAAAGAGTGCATACATAGGATTTGTAGATTTAGACAAATCTTTTAGCAATGTTAAATGGGACAAGATGTTAAATATACTTATAAATGTAGGGATGAGTTACAAAGATAGAAGAGTGATACTTAGTTTGTATAAAGAGCAATAGGCAGTTATACAAATGGGGCTGCAACGCAGAGAACGCAGTAAATGTTAGGAACGGAGTCAGACAGGGATGCATACTGTCACCGTTACTTCTTAATCTATACATCGCAGACGCGGTTAACATCATTAAAGACAGGCAACTGTAGGGATAGATATACAGGGGCGAAAGATTAGTATGCTTAGATTTGCAGATGATATAGCAGTATTAGCATCTAGCAAAGAGGAGTTAGAGATAGCTTTAAATAAAATGGAAGTGGTGTTGAGAAAACAGTGTTGTGTGAAAATAAATAAAAGTCAAACAAAAATACTGATACGTAAGGGAAGAAAAAGTAGAGAAGGAGCGAATATAAAGATAGGAGATGAAAAATTAGAAGAAGTGGCTGATTTTACGTATCTATAGGAAGTCAGATAAGTCAGTACAGAAGTACAGTCTCGAGAGTACGGAAGGAGTAGTAGGGATATAAAGCAGAGGATAACGCAGGGTCGAGTCGCCTTCAATAAAAAGAAGTCACTTGCGAACCGTTAATTTAGAAATTCGAAAAAGGTTGTTAAAGGTGTATGTTTGGAGCACGGCGCTGTACAGGTGCGAAACACGAACAGTGGGCGCGGCGGAAAAGAAAAGGTTAGAAGCGTTTGAAATGTGGTGTTACGTAGACCTAGGTTAGATTACTGTTCGCAAATAGTTAAGGATATGGGTTGTTCTAGTTTTAGGGAAATGCGAAGATTAGCTCAGGATAGGAAAGAGTGGAGGTACGTGTCCAACCAGTCTTAGGACTGATGACCTTATGATGATGAT